TTGGATGCACTCGACCCGAGTTCAAATCCGCCTTTTGCCGCACTCTAACTTCTTGTCACAGTGTCTGGTTTGTGTTTCCCTGAATGTCCACTAGAGGTCTCTTTCCCCATACTGTCACCATTCACTCTGGAACTGCATTTCCCACGATCTTTTGTCTTTTCTCATCACTCATTATTGCACACAGCTGTTTCTAGTTACATTGTTTAGTTTTGTGTATAAATACCTGTCCTTGCCACGGAGTCATTGCTGAATGTCACTTACACTTCCGAGGTCTGTTTTCTTGCCTGTTCTTGTTTTGTTTCTTGTTTATTTGTTTACTGGACTGCTAAAATGGATTTTGACCCCTGCATGGATGACTATGAGTTGGATTACGCTTTAATAAACACCTACTGCCATACTGCATTTGGATCTGCCTATTTTCCTGTGTCCCCGTGACACTTCACCCTTTCCCCAACACATGTGAGATGTAAAATGTATAACCTAACGTAAAGGTCTCTGTCGTCATATTTTGCCAACAAACTAAAATCAATCCATGATATGGCTTTGTGACTTTATAAAACAGCACAAGATTATTTATTTATTTTTATTTTTTTTGCTGGGTGATTTAAAGAAAAGTGTGCACTTTGCTCAATAGATCAGCATGGTTATCTGGGGTTTTCTCCAAATTGAAAGCTCAAGGGTTTATTTCTTGCAAGTGAAGAAACATTAGGACAAAAGTATTTTAATCATTTTCCTATATTATAGTGTAGACTAAACTTCTGAAATATTCATTTATATAGTACATTTATAGGCTATATGGATTTTACATCATAGGAATAATTATAATAAATCCTTATTACATTATTATAATAATTGTTTGGCATCCTAAAACACCATTGATAATGTAATGTAGACTGAGACTCTCATAACCAACAAGATGTTTGAGCCCTCTTTATTGTCCTGGTACAAATCAATGCTTTTTCTTTGTTCAACGAGCAGTTCATGGGTTGAAGCTCTTAATTTTGATCTCTCAGAGAGCATAAAATTGATGCATTTAACCTTAAAATGTACAACATTTTCTTGCGGAGAAGCATGCCCCCGAACCCCCCTAGAGGCACAGAGGTCCACCCAACATAGTTTTATAAATTCCTATGGGAAAGAACGACCATTTATGAACTTTACTCCTGTCACGGATCCATCTGCGTCAGCACCAGACACCTTCACTCCGCCCACTCGTTCCAGCTCCCCAGCCTTCTAATCACCGTCACCTGCCCGCATCAATCACCGTCCCAATCATCCTCCCTTTATAAACTCACTCCTCACAGTCACTCACCGTCTGGTCTCGTCGATACTACGGCTACAGACTCCCGCGACTCTCACTGCTACGTTCAGGATTACTTACCCGCTTGCATCAGCCCCGTCTGCCTCTCATCTGCTCCTGGTTCCCGGTCTCCTCCTGTTCATCCGTCTGCTGGTTCCACTCTCCGTCTCTCCGTCCTGCACAAGATAAGATATACTTCATCAGACTGTTTCCCGCTGCATCCCCGAACTTTCTCCATTACATACTCACCTGTTGTTTACCCTACCACCTGTTCAATAAACCTGGTTACTCTCCTCCATCTGCGTCCTTCTAGTTTGTGACAGAAGACCAGACCAACAACATGCTGCAACCTACCCCGAGCACCAGCGTTACACCGACCCCACCCTCTCCAACCATTCCCCGGACTAGCGCTCCAGCACTCTCCACGGCCACCGTCACCACTTCTTCCCCATCTGCCTCTGTCAGTCCCATGGCCCAACCAGCGCCCTTCTCTGGCGAGGAGGAGGAGTGCAGCGGCTTCCTCCTGCAGTGCGAGCTCTACATGGAGATGAATCCATCCGCCTTCCCCACCGAACGATCTAAGGTCGCCTTCTTCATCTCACTCTTGCGAGGTCGAGCGCTCAATTGGGCTCATGCCCTGTGGAAAGATCGAGGTCCAGTTACTCGGACGTTTGCTGCTTTCTCCGGTCATTTCATCGAAGTATTCTCGCAGTCTGCACATTCCATCTCGGTTCAAGACCAGCTGTACCGGTTGCGGCAAGGGAGATCGTCAGTCGCCTCCTATGCCCTGCAGTTCCGCACCCTCGCCGCCACTCTCGGTTGGAACGAGAGCGCGCTCATCACCGCATACCGTCATGGCCTGAAT